GACAGTCTCTTTAGCCTTGAAGTCAATTAGCTGCCCCAGGGAGACTTGACACTGGGGGGCTTGACTCTAAGCACCCAAATTTATAAGATACCATGGCAAAATCAAGATGCTCACATATCAATCTATAATCTGGGAGAAACTTATCTACCACTAAGAACACTTGGGTCTGCTCTCAAGGGCACCTCCTTTCCATTTTCAATGTATAACCCATGTTAACTACCTGGACACTATGGGTAACCTGTGGAAAGCACAAGGATCCAGTGTGCATCTTGCCCTGATGCTGGGCTCCCTCATTGCACTCTAACAGGACTATCTTGCAGGAGACATAGCTGGTTTCATTCCTGTGAGTCAGGTCACGGTATCCCCTGCAAGGGAGACACATTCCCAGTACTGACATCCTCAGAAGAGGTGGGACATCATCAAGAAACAGAAACACCAGCCCATCCAGCGTGGGTCAGTGATTGAGCGTTGACCTATGAACCAGAAGGTCACAGTTTGATTCCTGGTCAGGGCACATGCCCAGTTTGCAGGATTGACCCCTAGTAGGGGGCGTGCAGGAGGCAGCTGATCAATGACTCTCTCATCACTGACGTTACTATCTCTCTCTCTCTCCCTTTCTCTCTCTGAAATCAATAAAAACATTTTTGAAAAAAGAAAAGAAAAAAGAAACAGGAACACTGCAGGGGGGTTGGGGGGCAGACCTTAGGCAGGAAAGAGAAGTCACTTGCTTCTGGACAGGAAGTCTGGATGGGCCTTGGCACTACCAAATGGGAAAGGAAGGCCCTCTCCCATTGGAGAGGGCAAGCTGGGTTTAAGCAGGGAACCATCCTATGTAGGGACCCCCCCCATTGAGGACCTTAAGACCAGCAAGGTGTGTGGGACTCCAAGGTCTGACAACTGGCAGCCCCTATTCTACTTGGTTGTTTCATTTTGCCAGTCTAGTGTTTTAAAAGGCATGTAACTAGGGAGCTAAGTTATGCTTGAACTCAAGACAAACAGTTTTCACTTACTACCGTAAGCCTACCCAGATCACCTTTGTTAGCTACCAGGACACTATGGGCATTTGAGTTGAGATCCCTCACTAGATAGACGTATATTATCCTTTGGCTATTTCCCTTCTGATCACTTATTATAGTCTTGCCTAAAAGTTCCAGCTCAACTCAGCTATGTATGCTAACTGCACAGTTAATGGGGCTTCCCTGAGGCCATGCAAAAGGGCAACCTGACAAATTTTAAAAGCCCTCATTCAAAAAAGATGCCTGTTATTCCTTAGAAAAATAACTACTCTGGAACAAAAGTCTAAAAGCATTATATAGGAACATCAAATGATACAGTGGACATTGTTCTCACCACCATTTTATCATAAATACCATGGTGACTGTTATGGACCTGTGTTTGACAGAGACCTTAATTAGGCAAACCTAATACAGACACTTGGACTAGTCTGAGAGACACTCTAGTCACCAGATTAGACTTAAGTGATGGCCAGTTCTTCCCAGAGAACACTTCAAAAACACTCTCTGCAGTGGTCTGTCCTGCTCACCTGATCCCTGTCGTCTCAGACCTGCCTTTCACCCACATGATTTGGCCTCTGCAGCTATAGTTGGACAGTGAGACCTCCTTCCAGCCATGAAGTACTGGGTTTGGGGGAGACACCTGACCCAAGATGAACCCATCACTCTGTCCCCTGGCACTGAGAAAGAATGCAAATCAGCCTCTGTGGGGCAGGGACATGTGATCTGGATGCTGGAGTGGAGAGGGAGGCTGTTATGCTACATTGGGCCCAACGCCACAGAGATGGAGGAAGCCAATCTGCAGAGAAAGAGAAGAGTCAGGCACAGAGGTGGAGAGAGAGAGAGACAACAGAGCCTCCTTCAGCATGTGGACTCAGAAAAAAAACAACTAAGAAGGGCTCCTGGTGACTAACTGGGCTCTGTTTCCTACACAGGGCCTCTCATCCAAACTGCACTTCAGGCAAAAGCCTGAACTGAACTCCTGGACTGTGCTCTTCCCTTCTGAGGCAGCCCTTATAAAGGAGTTCCTGGAATCCTATTTCAACCAATAGGACTGAGGCTTTCCCTGTCCAACTGGAGCTGTGCAGCTATATCCCCATCAGCATCTTCACCAACCAATCAGAGTGGCTCCATTCTGACCAATTAGGACACTACCTTTTGGATCAATCAAACTGTGAGGATTTGGAGTCCTCATTTGCATGAGGACAGACCAATGGGGGGGGGCGGGGGCTTCTGTCTATGTAAGTCAGCTCCCCTTCCATTCTAGAAGCACACTTTCCCTGTCCACTGAAGACTGTGTCTCCCCGGCTGAAGCTGAAATACTGAACCATTTAGCCATAG